TCTGGCCCACTGTGGAGAACGATGCTTGGCGTGGCAGCGAGGGGTGACGCGGAAGCTCGCTGAGCGTGGCTGAGCAATCCCCGGCTCCACGACTTCCAGTGCCGTGCCGCGCCCACGCCGGGCGTTATGGGAAGCGCGTGGCCTACCGTGCCGTACCGTACCCGGCGCAATTAGTCTGCAGTTCCACGATATCGACGTATCCCTCACTTTCCATTTGCATGCAATCGGCGTTACGTGCCGGCCGGCCCATCCCCCAGACCGTGTAAACGGGGACGCGGGTTCAAATCCCCATCCAAAGAGGCTGTTTTCTCGCTTTATGGACAGATGATTCGTTTGGTCCGGACAAAGTGGTGTTTCAAGAAACTTCACTTGGACCGAGTTAGCAATCCTGGTTCAAGAGACCGACTGTTTTTTGGGTGCGGATATTTTTTTTTCACTCGACGAAGCCAGACGTTTTGAAATTAAGGGCGCCACCCAGGCGTGTGTGTGTGCGTGTGCGCGTGTGTGTCCGACCCCGGAACAGAGGCTTGGTGCGCTTCTTCGCCACCTCCGCGGCGCGCAGCGCGCAACGTTCCGACGCCACGGCCACGGTAATGGCACGGTGCGGCGGCCTGGCGGGGCTAGGTCACTGTCGCCGTGCTTTCTGGGCCGTGGTGGCCACACGCAGTCTTCATGCTTCCCGGTTTTGCTTCATAGCGCCCCCTTGACGACCCCCTACCCACTGGACGGACGGTTCGAGGGTCTAGTGACGGCGACACTGGTGAAACGTCGTCGGTGCCTCTCGCCAGGACGTCCTTCCCGTGCACCGCGGGGTCCACAACAGGTGCACGCGGGGCGCCGCGGGTCATGAAGTCGGTAACAGCCGCTTCAATGACTTCTGTTCCACGACGTTTTCTCACCGCGAGAGGTGTTTCCTTTCAAGTTCTGGAGCAATTCGCTTCACTTCCGCGACCTGCCTCCTTCGTGCGTCCGCCCCTCCCGCTGGGCCCCTTATTGTAAGGCCAAGGTGTTCCTGGGTACATGTCTCTCAGGCCGCGCGTGCTTCGTTAAAAACCAAACATAAGGCTTTTTTTTCAAGTGTAGAAAAAAAGGTACGGCCCTTATTTTTTTCCAACGCTCCTTGCGGCTTCGCTGTTCCTCCTCGTTTATCCTGCCAAATTGATACAAGCCGCGACCACACGGCCTTGCCTGGCTTTCTCTCAAGGATAAGTCGCGTCGTGTGTGTGTGTGTGTGTGAGGGTATTTTTTATATGGAGCGCTAGAATTTAATTAGAGCAATGGGAGGCTAGCTTGCTCCGCAACCACAAAGTCTTCTTCCACGTGTGTGTGTGTGTGTGTGTGTGTGTGTGTGAAACGCGTAATCGTCCGGTTGAGCAGCAAATTACAAGGTAAATAATAGAAGTATAGCAGCAGTGCCGAGCCGCACTTTCAAGTTGGAAAAAAAAGACACGTCTGACCTAGAATGCTTCGAAAAGCAATACACGTCATGAAGTGTGCCAGGATCGGGGCTCCGACCGAGGACCCAGTCAAAAATCACGGCCATGTTTTTGTCAGTGTCTGCTCTTTTAGCTAGCGACCATGACTCCTATAACAAGCTTACATTTCTCGAGTTTTTAAACACGCGCAGCAACGTTGAGAAGCGTGGAACCAGCAGATCTCGGAGCCAATCCCAAAACGCGTCATAAGTGAAGGTCTCTGCGCCAAGCCGAGGAGGCGGAGCGAACCACGAACTCTGAGTTCACCAAAGCGGCGAGTCCGAATCCGAAGCGCACAAGCATGTGGACCTTGAGGGAGGAAGCGCAAACCAGATGACCGTGTGCAGTCCTATCTGCCAAGGAAGAGGGCCGGATCTCCCGCTGGTCTCTCTCTCTCTCTCTCTCTCTCTCTCTCTCTCTCTCTCTCTCTCTCTCTCTCTCTCTCTCTCTCTCTCCGAGACAAGGTTTTCCAGCCGCTGCCGGCGCTACCTAGTCGGACCACGTGCTGAGCGGTGCCGGCGGGAAAGCTGGACCCGTTGAGAGACAACCAGGTCGCTCATTGACTCGTGGCGCGCGGGACACTATATATGTCTTAATGGCGCTCCAGTGAGAGTTAAACTGGAATCGTCCAGCAGTGCGTGCGTGCGTGTGTGTGTGTGTGCTTGGTGCGACCATTATTCGAGGCCGAGCGACGACAAAACAAAAACAAAAGGCGGTACGGACTCCATAATAATGATGCGAGCGCGGCTGGAGGCTCGGCTGGAGGCGTTGGAGCGCGGCGTGCACTTGTTGCTCCAGCGTAACAGGGCGAGACGGGCGGACCGCGCAACGCAGCGCGCAGTGACCGCTAACCTTGCGCATCCTTGCAGGGCCCTTGCAGGCCCGCGGGCCTCGGACCTGACCGGACCTTAGCGCCCGTTTGGGCAGTCGGACAGACGCTCGCCGAGGAAGCGACCGTCTCAACTGCAATCTTCAAGGTGTGTACTGCCTCATTTGCCGAAAAAGGCAGGAAACACAAACATTTGCCTTGTTCTTGTTCACGGTAATTTTGGGAAAACAAAAATGTCGGCGAAAAATTTAGCTGCGGCTGCACCAGATCGCCTTCTTTGACCACCATGGGAGGCAGAACACCCAAGGTTCGCAAAGCGGGAAGGAGTAGCCTATCGGGCGCCCGGCCGGAGGCCCGAGTGCAGTTCTGTGGCCGCTCCCTCGGTAACCGGGGCAAGCAGCCGGCAATCCCGTACCTGGCCCCGTCCGCCCGCCCCGGCCGGCCCGTGCATGCGCAAGTGTGTGAGTGCGCTCACGCTCGTGTGTGTGTGAGTGCGTGTGGTAGGGCATTGCACGCGTTGCGCCAGCAGCGGGAGATGGTAATGGAACTAGTGTCCCCTCAAGGACATCCCGGCAGTGCCGCGGCAGTGCGTTCGGGATGGCTCGCAGCGGGACGCGGCGGCCACCGCGCGACAGCGCGCCGAAGGCTTCGTTAGGGACTTCCCCGGGACTTCCCCGCAGCGAGGCGTGCTCTACCGGCCCGGCAGTGCAACGTGCAAACGGACCAGCGCAGAAGAGTCAACGTAAAAAAAACAAAACGCGCGCACGGAATTTTTGGGTACTCTCGACCGCTCTATGGACGAATTTGCAGGGCTGCGACGTAGGTGAATGAATGTTCGTAAGAAAAACCAGCTTCCTGTTCAATAAAATTTTCAAACTTTTTTTGTCTATCTAATGCGAGTTTGGCGGTGCCAACACAAATACGAATTCGCCGCAGGGCAGAAGCAACGCCGAGTGGACAAAAGGCGGCACCTGGCGGCGGCGCGGGGGAACACAGACAGGCCCGGAAAGTGGAGCACATCGCAGTGGCGTGGCGCACAAAATGTCACAAAGCGACTTTTAAAGCGGCTTCGTCACCCTGCCTGCCCTCCGCAGAAGGAAAATCGCGGCGCCTCGCAGACGGCGAGGCGAAACGACACCCGACCCGCCGGTATTCGAACCCCCGACCGGCCGGGAAATGCGAACCGGTGCACCAAAAGGGGCGCGCGTTGCACGGAGCGCGGCGTGACAGCCGGCAGCGCCGCGGCAGCGAGAGCTCTGGAAACAATTCGCCATCTTCCAACTCGAAGAAAAAAGCGAATTGAGCATAGCGGCTTGTTATTCACTTTCTAATTATTTCGCCGAAAAGCGGCTAGCAGTGCCACGGCTGGAAAACGACTCGTGCCGTCGTGTCCGCCTGGGTCGGTAAAAACAGCCGTGAGAATCACTCGCCTTCTAATCGAGATGATGAATTATGAGCGGAGAGCCTTGTTTGGACTCCATATCGCTCGCCCGCTAGGACGCCAGGCCGCACAGTGGGCCGGAAGACCGGCGGAGGCGGCAAAAACTCTGTGTTTGGAGCTCCCGAGTCGCTAAACGTGACTCGAACCGAACGTGTGACCCCACTAATGGATTCCTCGTTCGGAGAGCGATCCATTGGTGGGGTCAGACGTTCGGTTCGAGTCCCATTTAGCGACTCTGGAGCTCAAAACGCGTCTAAGAGTTTTTGCCGCATCCAGCGGTCTTCTGGCCCACTGTGGGCGTCCGTGGCGTTCTCATGCAACAGTGACGCAGGTAACCCCGCGCGGCCCGGTGCACTGCGCATCGTGATGCCTCGTCTCGTTCCCCCTGCAGATGAAGCAGGCTGTGCTTCCCTCCGCCCTCCGCTATCCGATAAGAATCTCACGCACGCCACAGCTCGTGCACGGGGGGCGGCCGGGGATCGCACCGCGACTTTTCGCGCAATTTTAACGTGGTGAATGTGCGCGAATTTGGGATTTTTGATGACGAATTACGGAAGAAGCACGTATTGTAAAAGACATGGCACAAGCGTAGAAAAAAGAATTCTCCATTCATGCGAAAAAGACAGCGTCCGTCTTTCGCACGGACCCACCCACCAGCTCACACACACGCAAAGCGTCCAAGCTCCACGAAACTTCTTTTCTGTCTGTCTGTCTGTCTGTCTGTCTGTCTGTCTGTCTGTCTGTCGCCAAATGAAGCAACCCTCTTCCTGCCGCGCGTGCGACGGACACGCGACGGACACGCGACGGACACGTGGCCGAGCGAGCGGACGACAACAAACAACTTTCACAGCCTCCCTCATCCCAATTTGCGTGGCGGTCTGGCGGCGCGTCGCGACGCCGACAAAGTGTTGGACGACGCTTTTGCAAAAGCACGCCCGCCCCGCCCCGCCCTGCCCCGCCTCGCCGCGTTGAGGCTTCACCTCGTCACCCCCGCGACACTTTCGCCGGCAACACTGTGGGCCAGAAGACCGGTGGGGGCGGTCAAAATTCCGGACGCGTTCAGAGCCCCAGAGTCGCTTAATGGGGCTCGAACCGAACGAGTGACCCCACCAGTGGATTGCTCTCCGAACGAGGAATCCATTGGTGCGGTCACACGTTCGCTTCGAGTCCAGTTTAGCGACTCTGGAGCTCAAAACGCGTCTTCTGGCCCACAGTGTGCACCGCGTGCCTGTCTCGTCACAGCGCAGGGCCTCACCTCCAGGAAGTGGACCTTCACCTTCTTCTGGAAGCGCGGGTATCCAAACTTCCAGGAGAAGGGCTTCTTGAGCACGGATAATCCAGTGATGGAGTTCATCTTGTACGACGGCATCCTGGACACACGCGGATCCCGCGCGGGGATCACCACCACTAGACCACACGTGACATGCCTCACTCACACACACACACTTGACACCGACACACACACACTCGCGGGTACACGCGGGGCGCTCGCTCGCGCGGCGCGGCTCGCTGGGCTGCGCTTCGCGGCTTGGCGGCGACGGCGGGAACGAACGGTGCTTCGCCTCAGACGCCGGCAGGACGTCTGGCGTCGCAGCGCAGCGCCGGCCGCGCGGCCCGGAGGGGCGTCCTGGTGGGGGCCACGGCGAGGAGGGGGCGGCACGGGAAGGGGGAGGGGGAGGGGATCAGGTGTTTTGCCGGGGATCAAGCGGCGCGCGTGCCGGCAGACGCGAAGCACGCGTCGCTCGGGGTTACACGCCGATCAAGCGACGCGTCGTCGCGCTGCACGCCGCGAGGCGAAGCGCGATGGGTGCACGCGGGCACACTGCACGCGGCCACGCCACTGCACGCAAGCGGACCACGCTAGCTAGACTATCAAAGCCCAGCCGGATAAAGTAGCAGCGAGTTCCGGCAAGGCGTCTGAAAAATAAAAGCACGAAAAAAAAATCTCATTCAACGAACGTTAATGAAAGCAGATGATCGATCGCGTTTCACAACTGCTGCGATAGCCGAGAGGTTAGAGACGTGGGATCGAGTTACCGCAGGCCGGCGTTCGAATACCAGCGTCACGAAAGTTTTTTCGACTTACTATCCTAAGGGTGGTGGTTCGAGGCCATGAGAGCGGAGCCGTGTGCAACAGGCCCACATGCCGGAGGTTCGACTCCTAACAAATATTTCCATTTAATTTTACTGCCTCACCCAGTGCGGTTCAAACCCGTAAACGTGAGCCCATTCCGAGCATGGGACGTGGTGGTCCAGGGAGTAGAGGCGTTGGTTCTCAGTGCTGGGGTCGGCGGTTCGACTCCCAACTTCTTGCGAAATTTTGACCGGGTCGGTCGAGTCCTGTTGCTTCAAGAACCCACCTCACGCCGATCCCCTCATCATGGGCCGTGGTGGCCGAGAGCGTAAAGTCGTGTGATCCCGATGGCGGGGTCCGGGGATCGAATCCCATCATTACATTACATTTTTCGACCGCCTTCCTCCCAGTGCAACTCAAACCCGTCGTCCAACACGCTGCCAGACGTACAAGCGTGATAGCGTAGTGGTCAGAGTCACATTCACCTGGCCACTCCGCTGTGGGTGTCTAAAAAGCAATCCGCTTCGGCGGGTTGGCCTCGGCACTGGAGCGATGGCGTATTTGATCCATCAATCCAGACCATCCGGTGTGTGGTTGCGGGTGGTGCCTCCTTGACTCGTCGGGGAGGCGATGATAAGTCCTTTGAAGCTGGCCTAAAACGCTGTATGTTCGGTACGGGAGCGCCGGACAGTGGGGGTACCATGGGGTACACAACTAACCCTACGAAAACAAAAAGCTCCCACCAAACCTCTTCTCTGTCTGAGTCTCTCTCTGTCTCTCTGTCGTCTCACTCTACGTCCCGCCCCTCAAAGAGCTTCGTACTGGGTGCTCTCACCCAGCTGCCTGAGCTTTGGGGTCCTACTGGGTCCCCCGGCGAACGCTTGGGTCGCTGACGGGATTAACCCCAGGTACCTGATAGCACCGGTTCCCATCCCGAACACCGAAGTAAAGCAGGAGGCCTCCCCATTAAGACTGGGGAGGGGGTGTAGAGTTCAAATTTTTTCTTTTCCCTTTCAAATTTCCCTGCCTTGGGTGCCTTTCGGTTTCTACTTAGTAAAATTCCGAACAGGATTTTCGTTTCTTCAAAGTGCGCCAGTTCGGCACGAACTGTTCACACGTACAGGTGCTTGTCGAGGCACTTTTTTTTGTAATGTCCAAATTGTTTGTCGACACGGCGTTTCTGTCGCCGCGCACACTTGACCGCATTATGCATGCATGCTGCATTTTCTCCGCATGCATTCATTCTCCGCTTCTCACTCATTCGCTTTCCTTTCGCTTCCGCTTCATTTCGGCCCGGCGGTCCGCACGACTGGAGGTGGCTCGGAGTGTGTCCGGCCGGTGACACACCGCAAGGCGAAAAAAAAAAGAAAAAAAAGCGCCGCCACCGAGATTCGAACCCGCGGCGTCACCACACTCGCCACTGACAGTGAAAAGGTTTACCTCTCTGGCTAAAATTCGACCGCTCTCTTGTATCTTGGCACTGGTGCAAGTTATTTGTCACGCAGGAAATCGTGATTTCTTTTACAACATTGCAGTTTAGGTTTTATAGTTGTGTACTGTTTAAATACTCAGGTATACAAATATTTTGTCTTGCAAATTGAGCGCCTTTCTGGGCTGCAAAGGGATAAGTCACTCCACCTTGCGTTGAGGTCACCAGATCCAACAAAGCACAAAAAGCTCGCACTGTTTCTGCTAATCATCGTTGGGCGTTCTCGGCGCTGAGGCAACGGTCCGATGGGAAAATCCTCCCCGAATTGCCTCGCCTAAAAAGCGCTATTAATTACCCAAACTCGAACATAAACAACACAGATCCGTCGCTCGCGGCGCGCAGGAGCTGACCCGTCCGTGAACCGGAGTCCGAAAGAAAGTTTTCGGGAGGACCTCGCGCTTCGCGCTCCGCGGCGTCGTCGTTTGCTTTTTTATTTCATTTCGTTTTATTGGAGCCCTGCGAGATTGTGTCTTCCTTCTGGAGTGAGATATCGCGGCGCCGCCGTTTTCCCCCAGACAGTGAAAGGACTCGCAAACCGCATTAAAAACCTCAAAACATTTATCCAATCCGCGGGAGGCAGCCCCGCCGCAAAGCATCCTCAAAAACGCTTCGCCTGATGGGTCCTTCAAACGGCCGCGGGACCGCCGCGAAATCGGCCGTCGCGATCGCTCAGTTTCGCAATTCCAATTAACACTAAATCCAGCCTCAGACATATCGAAAAATGAGTACGGGAAAAGCGTCGAGGAGGTGGTATACGTGAGTGGATGAAAATCGTGGATGCCAAAGGTGGTCACAGACGCAACTAACAGATGAGTGCAACTCCAAAATAATTTTATAACTGAGTTTACATTGGATTCAACACCCGAAAAAACGACTTCTTGGATCAAGAAAAATTTAACGTTTCTTGAATTTTTTTTTTTCAAGAAATATTTTTTTATCCAAACTCAAGAAAGGCGCACTGCGACACCGCGATGAAGCGTAAACGGGAGTATGAGCGCAAACCCCATCGGCCGAAGAAAAAAAAAGGTCTCCCTTGTGCAATGTTTATGCATCACTCAGTGCATGTAAACACGCGACCCCACACGACGACACCCGAAGGGAAAGCCAGGCCGCGGCGGGCCTTGCTGCACCTTCGGCGGCTGCACCTTGCGTCTGCTGCACCTTCTGCAGTGGCTTGACCCTGCAAAACGACTCGGCTGCCACTGACATAACACTAGATAAAGAGGAAGCTCACACGCCCCACGTGTTCTCCGTAACAACAACAACAAGAGCAGCCGCGGGCGAGAGGGAACCGTAACGTGCAAAACGGCAGTCTCAAGCACCTCGCTACTCCGCCGGCGTTAACTGCTTGCCGACTTGGGCGCGGTGCTGCGCTCCCGGAAAAAAATTATCTAGTATGTGGGTCCCGTGGAAACTCGGAAAATAATTTGACCGGTTCGAGGCACCATAATTTCTGATATCAACAAGACTCCATTTTGAAAGAAAGAACAGTTTCTAAAAAATAAACAGTCAGTTTATTTTTGTTGTAAAATGACGATACTGTGCTGCAACTATCCTGAAAATGTCGTTCAAAGCAGCCGCATAAATAAACGCGTTCAAAAAACACTTCGATCGTGGCTCCCGCAAAACGCGCAACGTCTCGGGAACAACTCGAATGAATCCCTGATGCTGACCATTAGTTGTAAGTGAGACGCCGCTTGCCGCAACGAATCCACTTTTTTTGCCGCGAAGGACGCGTCGCGGCGCCGGGAGGCAAGGAGGCGCCAGGAGGCGCCAGCCAGCACCGACCCCCCGGTCCGCACCTCTTCATTTGTTTGACGTCTTTCTTTCCTCCGCCTAATGCTGGCCGTGCCGTGCCGTGCCGACCCGTGCCGGGCCGTGCCGGGCCACCGGTGGCGAAATCAAGCCTTGGCTTTTTAATATCCGAAAGCCCTTGTTGCCTGAGTTGCGCCACGGCAAGCCGAGCGTCCCAGCCATTAGCCGAACGGGACTTTTTAGCAAATAAACGAGGCGGCACGGCACACTGGCACACGCCCAGGCACACGCCGCCGGGCAGCAGAGTCCCGAATTACGCCAGCGCCACTTTCGGCGTGCTCATCATCGAACGCGGGAGCGTCCACGGCGTTTGTCACGTGACATGCGCCAGCCAAGATCTAGGCTCGCCAAGCACATTTTTACGAAGAAACGCAATTTTCTGTCGAAGCTCCTGGAGAATCTAATTTCATCGGGTTGACAGCACCCTTTTTTCTGTGTACGGTCTCAGCCCCGTACTTACGTACCTTTGTATACTTTCAATTCATTTCATATTTCAAACCGAAAATTTGCAATGGTTAGCATGCAAGGAGGCGCCCCCTCTTCCTCGAGTCGATAAGAGCGGCACAAGGCTCGCTCGGTGCATCCACGGTGCATACCCGGTGCATCCACAGTGCAGTCACGCACAGTGGGGGGAGGAGAAATTCTTCGATGGCCGCGTAAATGTTTCTCATTGTGCACCTCTGAGTGTGTGTGTGTGTTTTGTGTGTGTGTGTGTGTTTTGGTGTGTGTGTGTGTGTGTGTGCACGCGCGTGTACGTGAATGCAATTATTAGCATTTTCATTGGCGGAGTCGCTCGCCACTTTGGACCCCTGGGAGGAAGGGACCGCCGTCAACCGGACGTGGCCGTCTCCAGACACACACACACACAGACACACGCGCGCGCGGTTCCATAATTTATTTGTACAGTGTAGGGAAGGACCAGGCCCAGACGGCGGCGGCCCATCCCGTGTCATTCTATATGTCTTGCCGAAGAAAGTCCTTCGCCGCGGACCCGCCTCGCCTGACCACTGTCCGGTCGTTGCGTAAGGACGCATCTGCCCGCGTGAATTCACAGTC